ACCAGAGTGGCAGGAGACCCAGCCGCACTCGCTGACCCCTTGAGGGACAGGACCTGATGGCTCCTGGAGGGGAAGGTGAACTCGGGGTCCCGCCAGCTGCCCACGAAGAGGGCCAGCCGGGGCTCCGTCTGCTGGGTCTGTTCCAGGCCAGAGCCCAAGACGGGGTGCAGGGCAGGGGGGCCCTGCTCACTGACATTCTCTCTTCTCAGGATCATCAGATGGTTTGTCTCAAAGTTTAAGTACATATTCGGCCTTCGTTTTGAGATAAAGGGTCTCCAGAAGCTGGAGGTGGACCACCCCTGTGTCATCATTTCTAACCACCAGAGCATCCTGGACATGATGGGTAAGCCAGGGCGCAGAGGGGTTGGTGGGAGAGCTGGCCCTTCCTGGCTGCAGGCCCGGCCTGGGACACTGCCCTGGTCTCTTGTGGGGAGAGGGAGGGGTGCTTCAGAGAGCTGGATCCTGGGCCCAGATGACCTGGGAAAGCGGGGCTGACCCAAGCCAGGGGGACCCGTGCCTCCCTCCAGCCACATGACAAAGCTGTGTGTGCCTGATGCTGGGTACGGGGCTCTGCCATCCTCACCCCAGCGGCTGGGAGCTCGGCTTCGCCGCTCCCTCTACAGGCGGGAAGCAGGCCGAGAGGCCACATGACCTGGCCGGGTGGCCAGTGGGAAGGCATGACCCCGCCTAGGTCTGTTGGTGGTCCAGGCACAGGGCTGGCTCTCTCCTCCTTGGGGAGGTGGCTGCCAGGCTCTGAGCCTGACCCCTCCTGCCTGGTGCCCGTGGCCACCTGCAGGCCTGATGGAGGTCCTACCTGAGCGCTGCGTTCAGATCGCCAAGCGGGAACTGATCTTCTTGGGGCCCGTGGGCCTGATCATGTACCTCGGGGGCATCTTCTTCATCAACCGGCAGCACTCCAGGACTGCCATGACCGTGATGGCCGATGTGGGCAAGCGCATGGTCGGGGAGAACGTGAGTGTGGGGCTGGGGGCCTGCTTGGCGGTAGGTGCCCAACAGCACCTCAGCCCCCTGCCCGTGGAAATGTCGGGAGCCGAGCCTCCGCATCCGCGCATTCGCGGTGGTGGCCTCAGCTGACAAGGGAGCTCCTTAGGAGGGGGCGGCCCAGCGCCCCCCACCCAGCTACAGCTGCCTCCTGTCTCCCCCACAGCTCAAAGTGTGGATCTACCCTGAGGGCACGCGGAATGACAATGGAGACCTGCTACCTTTCAAGAAAGGCGCCTTCTACCTGGCGATCCAGACCCAGGTGCGCCAGGGCGCCGCCCTCCTAGCGGGGCAGGGAAGCGGGTCCAGGTTGGCTTAAAGCCGAAGGTGACGGCCTGGTCAGGTTGGGGCCACTGGGGCTCGGGGACCCCCTCCCACTGGGCGGGCACAGGGCCTCCTCACCCCTCCAACACCGGGTTTCTGACCTGCTGGGAGGGCTGTTCTTTGGGCCCCTTCGCCCACTCTGAGCGCCAAGGCTGGTGCTGATCGGGTCCAGCACCCAGCTTCGGCAGACCCCTTGGTAGCTGGCCAGCAGGGGTCCCCAGGGGAGGCAGCGGTGACAGGCCTACTTACTGGGCTCTCTGGGGAAGGCTGAGTGCTTGCCTGGTCCTGCAGAACCGTGGGCTGGGGCCAGATGAGCAGGGCCTGGGGGGCGGCCCGCACAGAGCGAGCTGGGACTCTGCGGTGGGCCCCTCTACTTTCCTGGTCCTTGAGCTCCAAGGTGCCCTTTGTCCCGGGAGGTGCTTGGGGGTGACGTCCGTAGAACTGGGGGTGCATCCATCCCCGGGGCAGTGTCTCCTGGTGGCTAAAGGGTGCTCTGTCCCACTCCTGGTCCTGTGTTGGGGGAGTTCGTGCAGGGAAAAGTCATCATCTGCAGTCGGGGGGAGGGGCTTTCGTCCTGCCCGGTTGGGGTCTGGGCGGTGCCTGGCAGGGGTCTGCTCTTGGCCCTCCACCTGGCACAGGTGGCCTCTAGCGCCCCCTGCTGTCTGGTCCTGAGCAAGGCCGGGCGAGCCCTCCTTCCAGAGGCTCCCAGCTCACGCCCCTGTGGGGTCGTGGAAGCAGCAGGTGAATGGGGTGGAGGAGCCTGGGCTTTGAGCTCTCACCCCCTGGGCCTGCGGCCCCTCCAGCTGGGAGGTGGAGGGCACCCCTGCCGCATACCTGGGGCTGATGTCCTTTCCTTTTGCTGGTGGTATGGGACATGGGGCTCGTGGGAGAGGAGAGAGGATGCTGCAGAGGCTCTGGTGGGGCTGGGGTAGCGCAGCCTCAGCCAGGAGACTGGACAGCATTCCCTGTCCTCTCCGCTCCCCTCCTCCCTGTCTCCCCGGGGGCCTCCCAGCCTGTCGCCTCCCTGTGTTCCAAGCCTGTGCCCCTGCTGGTACCAGGGAGAGGCTCCCTGACTGCCAGGGTTAATGATCACCCCCAGGGGCCGTTTCTGACCCTGGTATCTTCCAGGAATACCAGCAGACCCTGTCCCCTCCCTGGCTACAGCTGCCCCCTGCCTCCCCAGGATGGGGGAGGGGTGGGCAGAAGGACCTCAGTAACCTCCAGCTAAACTGTACAGGGCCCTGCCCCCCCGCGCAAACTTAGGACCCAGTGGGGGCACAGATGTGGGTCATAGGGACATGTGCCGGCCAGGAAGGCTTCCTGGTGAAGGGGATGCTTGAGTGATGATGTGTAGGATGAGTTCATGGAATGCTGGGGGCAGCTATAGCCGGGGAGGGGGCAGGGCCTGCTCGTTTGCTTGCAAGACACCAGGGTCAGAAACGGCCCCTGGGGGTGATCATTAACGCAGGGCATGAAAGGTGTCCCAGGCCCCGGGGTCATGCGTGGAAGGGGCCTGAGGCAGGTCACCTTGCCTGTCCTGTAGCCGCAGGCACTCCCGGGACCTCGTTAGGCAGAAGGCAGGCAAGTGGCAAGGCAGGGCTCCCCCCACCAGCTCATCCTTGGGGCTCAGGGTGGGCTGGGGTGGGCTTCCGTGTGTCCTCAGGCGCCACGGCTCTGTCCACAGGTGCCTATCATCCCCGTGATATACTCCAGCTTCTCCTCCTTCTACAACCCCAAGACGAAGCTCTTCAGCTCAGGTAGCACCCCACCACCTGGGCACACCCGCGGGCGAGTCTCATCCTCAGTCACGGGGATGCCCAGGCCCCTCGTAGGGTAGTTCCCCTTTCTGGGTGGTTCCTGTAGGCCAGTGATCATTTGGTGAGGGAAGGAAGGAAGGGATCTGGAATCCCAGCAGAGGGAGGGTTAGGTGCCTGAGTTCACACGCATAGGCCCAAGCTGGGCAGCAGCCTCCCGGGTACCCCCATGCCCACCAGCCGTGGAGCTTGGGGCCACTACCCTTCCGTCCAGATCCCGAATGTGGGTACCTGGTGCCTGGGTAGGAAGGTGGGGTCAAAGGTTGAAGGGCAGAGGGGCGGGGAGGGGAGGAGCCAAGCTGTGTCCCCCCGCCCCCTATATCTGAGACTCTTGGCCCCCCAGACCATGGTGGAGGATGGAAGTAGAATGGTGGGTGTGGGTGCCTGGGAGGAGGCAGGGGGCACCTTCTGGGGGAGGAAAGTTCTGTACCTTGGGTGGAGCTCGCAGGGGAGTATACAGCTGTCAGAACCTACCAAGCGCGGACTCAGGAGCTCTGGGTTTGGTTGTACTGATTATTCTCAGTTAAAAACCAACCACCTGAGACCAGGGTGTCCAGGGATGGCCGGTAGGTGGCCGAGGAGGAGGAGGAAGGGGGTTCAGCTGGTGCCGGAGCAAGGACAGGCCGCAGCTTGGGCGCCAGGACAGTGGGCACGGGTGGGGGCCCCAGGCCACTGATGCTCTGCCCCCAACAGGAACGATCAAGGTGGAGGTGCTGGATGCCATCCCCACCAGTGGTCTCACTGTTGCCGATGTCCCCAAGCTGATGGATACCTGCTACCAGGCCATGAGGACCACCTTCCTCCGCATATCCAAGACACCCCAGGAGAACGGGGATACTGCAGGGCCTGGTTGCCAGCCAGCCCAGTAGCCGAGGCCTGGGGTGGGGCAGGACCTGGGGACAGGATGGGGCGGGCCGGGGACAGGGCCTGGCTGGAGAAGGGACAGAGGGACCTCTTCCCCTGCCCCGGCTGCTAAATATCACTGTGTCCTGCTCCCGAGGATCCCCCCGCTTTCATTCGGGCCCTGGATGCAGGAGGCTGCCTCCTGTCATTGGCTCGGATGTCCCCCCAAAAGGAGAGTCAGCTGGAACCTTCCCTCGAAGCCCACACTTGTGCCTCTCGGACTCGGGAGCAGGCGAAGGACCAGCTGGGCCGACAGGCAGGGCCTCGGGACGAATGGCCAGGGCTGAGACGCTCCACCCTCCTGCCCGGGCCTGTGGGGCGTGGAGGCCGGCTGGGCGGCCGGCCCTCTGGGAGAAACGGGACTCTGCGGGGGGCTGGGGGGGCGGCTGGACATCCGGTCTTGTGCAACCTGGGCCTCAGGGAGAGCCACACAGCAGAGGTCCTTGCTCCGCTGGCCTTGGGAGCAAGCCGGCCAAATAGGCACTGCACGCCGTCAGTGTTTTTTAATAAATGAACCCTCGGAAGCACCTGGTGAGCTGTGGTCACTCGGGGTGGGCGGGGCGGTACAGCGCTCAGGGCTGTCCTCGCCGCCTCCAGGGAGCACTCCATGCCCCCTGCAGTGCCCCCCTCCAGGACCAGGCCCGCGATCATCCTGCGGTAGTTTTCCGGGGGTGGGGATGTCCCCTGAACTGGGCGGCGGGCACGCTGGGGGTCAGCTTTGCTCTCTGGCTGCTGGCCGGAGCTTATCACCGAGAGGCCAGACTCGCCGTCACAGAAACCACCGGCTCTAGCCCCTTGTGGAGAGGGAGGACCAAGAGCCCGTGTAGGAGGAGGGCCCAGTGTGGCTGAAGCCCTCCTCTGTGCCCCACGGCTGCCCCTCTGCCCTCCTGCCAGCCAGCAGGTGGCCCCCCCATCAGCCTCAGGATGCCCTCCAGAATCCACCAAGGACACAGCAGCGCCTGAACCTTCATTTTATTCTGACACGGAGCAGAGGTGCCCCCAACATGCTGCCCGGTGAGCAAGACCCTCGTACCTCCCCTGAGCCACGGCCCCCCTCACTGGTGCTGGCCGGGCTGGGGCTGGATCACACCCAGGGGGACCCCTCCTCCCGCCCCGCCTTGGCGCGAAGTCCCCCTCCGGCCCGACCTAGCGCAGTGGGCAAGGCTCCCAATAGCCAGGGCCAGGGGCCTGGGCCGCCTGTTACAGCTCCTTCTCGCAGGAACCTGCGGACGGACAAAGGGCTGAGGTCAGAGGCCGCGGCTCCCCACCACCTTCCTTCCCCCAGGTCCCAGGCTCCCGGGTGGCACTCACAGGACCCCAGCTGCTCCTCCAGGAGGGAGATCTGCTCGCTCAGAGAGTCGATGCGGTCCAGCTGCTGGAGGGAATGCGCCAGGAGGCTGCTGGGGTCCGGGAGCCCATGCTCCAGGGCCCTCGAGGCCAGGCTATGTAGCGGGGCCAGCACCAGCTGCAGCTTCTGTGGGCGGAAGGGACCCTCTCTGTTCCACAAGGCTTTCAGGGAACCCTGTGGCCTGTAAGGGCTCTGCAGGGCCCTGGACGTCCACCAGAGGGAGCATCTGTGCCAGGAGAGCCGGGGGGCACGGGCCAATGGACACCTCGTGACCGGCCCTGCAGTGGTCCCCAAAGCCTGGGGTCCCGGGTCAGAGGGGCTGGGGGGGAACCAGAGCTTCCAAGGGGTCCTCAGGCCAACGGCCCCATAGAAAGTCCGCAGGGACAAAGGTAGGTAGGGGTGGGCTGGACCTGGCTTCAGGCACTCTGCTGCCTGTGGGGGGCACGGCCAAGCTTGGCCCTCCTGTCCTGGGGCCCCCGGGCTTGCTAGCCCTGCCTGGGCTGTCAGTGCCCAGGAGGCCTCCTTCCTGGGGCCACCCCCACGGAACCCCACAACCACCCTGAGGGTCTGAGCTACACCACAGGAGACGATGGGCGGGGGGCAGGCCTCACCTGCTCCAGCACGTCCACCCTTGACCGAAGTCTCTGCACTTCCTCCTCGACTGCGCTGTCCACGCCTGGGGAGATCCCAGCCCTGATCAGGCAGGCCCCGCTCCACACCCCACACCCCAGGCCGGCTTCTCCCCACGCAGAGGCCTCTCGGCCTCGGCCAAGCGCGGGGCACAGCCGTGGAGACCGGGCTCAAGACCCACGCCCATTCTAGGCAGCGAGGCTGGCCTGAGGTCTGGCAGGCGGCCCGGCCACGTCAGCAGGCCCTGACCCGGCAGGTGCGCCCTGCCCCGCCCCTCGGCGCCAGGGTCCCCGCGGTGCTGAGCCGTCCAAGCCGAGGTCCACGTCGAGCTCTTGGTGCCAGGCTGCCGACAGCGCATTATTACTCACGGTACGAGTTTGAAGTGTCACAGCGCGTACCAAAAGTAATAATGTCCCGTCGTCAGCGGAGGTGTGGCGTCTCCTGGCTGTGGGGGCAGGGACACGGAGAGGACCCCGGGGCATGTCTTCCCCTCTCCCGGCTGAGATGAGCCCCCTCTCGGCAACCCTCCCCCACAATGCCCCCAAGGAAGCAGCGCCCATCTGTCCCCTGGGGAAGATCCCCACTTAGGCCCGGGTCAGGGAGATGGCCTGCAGCCCAGGGCGGGAGGCCTCCGGCAGCCCCCACTGCACCCAGCGCAGACGTGCAGGGTGATGCCCACCCCCTCCCCAGGCCCTGCCCGGCCCTCCTCCCAGGCATGGCAGCAAGGATGGGGGGGCATGTGGGAAGTTTACCTGTTGTGGGGTTCGGGGCTACCCTGGGGGCCCCTGTCTTGGGCAGGCAGAGCACACCATCTGCAGATGGGCTGTGCCCTTCCCAACACCAGCACCAGTAACTACCCGCGGTGTTGACGCAGTGCTGGGGACAGGTGCCCCCTCCAGCCCTGCACTCGTCCACGTCTGCAGAAAAAGGGGTGTCAGCTAGGAAGTGGCACCCACACTGAGCCCCCTCAACACCCGCCTGTTCATGGGCCACCCCCGACACCCAGCAAGGGGCCCAGAGGACCCTTCCCCTCCGGGAGGACGGGAGGCAGCCTCACCTGTCTGGCAGGTGTCACCCTGCCATCCTGCAGGGCAGTGACAGCGGCCTGGCTGGACACAGCTCCCTCCGTTCTGGCACGGTGGCTGGCATATTGCTGTTGAGGGGGAGGCCTGTCACAAACGGAGGGGGGTCCCCAGGGCCCTGCAGGGGGCAGCTGGGGAAGGCCCTGCACCTCTCACCTGCTCCACAGGCCCTGGGGAGCCCGTCGGTCCTCTTCCAGCCGGGGCAGCAGGCGTAGCGAGGCCTGGGGGCGGCGGGCCCAGGGCTGCGGCGGTAGGCAGTCCTGTAGACGGTCCTGTGGGGTGGGTAGGGCAGGGGGTCATCAGCAGTACGGGCCGGGCTCCCCAGTTCCTCACCCCACCTTCCCTCCCTGGGCACTGGGCCCCTGGACGCCAAGGGCGCTCCCTACCAGCCCTGCTCAAGCCATGGGCAGCCTCCGCGTCCTGGACTCCCGGCCCCTCCCCTGCGCAGGTGGGGAAGGGGCACTCACTAATGGGGCTTTACCGACCCCTCCTTGGCCTAGCGGCTTAGTGGAAGGGGCAGGGAACAGGGCCCCACCCCCTCCGCCCCCACCTTCTTGGCCAGCAGGGGGATATCCCACAGGAAGGTCTCCGAAAACCCCACAGACCACGAAATCTCTTTAAGCCACGTTTCCACAGCTGAGCGCCGGAGGAGACCACGCCCCTCATGCTGGCGGTCGGCTGGGCGCGGGGCGGCCTGGGGATGTGGCATTACAGTCGCCACCTGTGACCATCGGGGGCTGTCATGGGGGGAGGGGTGCCCACCGGAGCTCAGGGGCAGGTTCTGGCGAGGCAGGGATCATCTCAAATGGATAAGAACTTACAGCCAGCACCCCGAAAGCAGAGGGTAGCGGACAGGCTGGGCGAGCCCCGCAAAGATGAGGGTGGAGGAGCAGGACGGGATGACGTCTGAGATTACTACAGCCACATCCTGGGACCGAGACTGCCTGAGTCAAAACAGGCATCAGCCTCCGCCATCCATTTGGACGTGGGCCCGGGTTTCCCACCTTGGGGTGCATGGCCCTCCTGGGGCTCAGGGCTGATGTGTGGCAGGCGGGGGAGCTGCAGGGGGCAGGGGGCGCTCACCGGTAGGTGCTGCAGGCTCGGTGCCCGTCACAGGTGGTGAGGAAGGGTTGGTACACTCGCTGCACGAAAGACTCTGACTCGGGGCCCCTGGGAGCCCCGACGGCACACACCCTGCGGCTAAAGAGGTGGGGGCACCAGCAAGTCAGTCCCACAGCTCCCAGCCCAGAGCCCAGAGCCTTCCAGCCCTGGAGCCAAGGGAGCCAAGAATCTGGGGAAGGGGCTTCCCGGCGTCACCACAGGAAGGACCCTCAGCAAGAACTGCAAGGAAGAGCCATGCCCCCCACCCCCAGTCCTGGGGGTGGCCTGAGGGCTCCTGGCTGCCCACCCCCACCGCTGCAGCACCCAGAGCCCGAGTCCCCCACGCTCTGACTCACCCAGGCCGGAAGACGTGCTCAGTGCCACCCACTGCCAGCACCAGGAACCACACCAGCAGCAGCTCCCTGGAGGTGAACATGGCCCGTGTCTGCAGGGGGGATGGCCTTCTCCTCAGGGGGGCCTGAAGCACAAGGCACCCCCATAAGCCCCTCTGCAGATCCCTCCTTGAGCCCGTGCCTCTGGCAGAGCCCGGTCCCTGGCTCTGGGACACCTGCCCAGCTCAGCCGCTTTGCTAGGGCCTCCCACTGCAGCCTCGTGCCCGCAGGAGCCCCCAAGGGCCGTGGCAGCCGCCCCTTCCTCCCACCGCCTCACAAGGGAGGCCAGCCCTCTGGCCCACACAAACAGCCCAGAACCCCAGAAGGGCGAGGATGCAGCAGCTTGGTCTGGGTGAGCCTGAAGGCAGCCGCAGCTCCAGCAACGTTCACTTGGGAAGGTGGGGGCCCAGGGGAAGCCTCTGGACCAGTTCTCCCTCCCCTGGCTGGGTTTAGTGCCCTCGTGTCGTGGCAGGGTGGTCTCCCAGCCCAGTTCTGCCGACCGGGTGGTAGTGGGCCGAGCTGGAACCCAGCCCAGATGGCTTGGTCCTTCTGGCCTTCAGTGTCCTCATCTGCCAAATGGGGAGCCAGCCACGGGGGTGGCATGGGAGTCTATGAGGGGGTGCAGGAGCTCAGCATGAGGGGCCATATGGTCCTTCTCAGAGTGCGGCAGAGCCTGCGTGGGAGGGGGTCACCCTACCCTGGGGTCTGACTGGTCTGCTCCAGGGCTCCTGGGACCGGGTGGGGGGGAGGGGCCTGGAGCAGCCCTCCCCACCCCACATGCCAGTGGAGCCAAATGCCATCCCTCTCTTCTGGGGATGGACGCCAGGGACCCGGGAAAGCATTCCTGGGAATGTGGGAAAACCCAGCCCAGAATTAATGGTCCGCAACGTGCCGAGGGGCCTGTGAGGTGGGGGGAGGGGGAGGTGTCCACATGTGCGGCCAAGCATCTGGGGAGACGGGGCGCTCCAGGCACCGCACCCGAGGCCCCCAGGGGGCGGGGTTCCGCCCAGGTGGGCAGCCCCTGGCCCTGCAGGGCATCCAGCAGGAAGGACATGGAAGACAGCTGGACTTCCGTGTGGCAGGAGGTAGAATCAGGGTAGGGTCGCCCCCTTCTCTGGGACTCGGTTTTCTCAAAGACACCACTACGGTCTCAAAGGCCCCTCCTCCAGCTGACAGCTGGTCCCATCAAGAGTGACCCCCGTGAGCCGTGAGCCATTGCTGAGCCCTCAGGCCTGCCAAGCCCAACCCCCAGGGGAGAGTGATACCACGATGGGTCTACGCAGTCGGCTGGGAGTGGGGTCCTTGCTCTGGCCCACGGCCCCATGTGAGGCAGCTGGAGGAGAGTCCTCCCTGCACCCCCTGTTCACTGTGGTGGCCCAAGAAGGGAAGCCAAGGTGTTGGGACTTAGTTTGGTGGCAGGGGCATGTCCTGTGAGCCAGCTTGGGAAGAGGACCTCTGGGAGTGGACGCTGGGGGGTGCACACTATTAGGGGGCACTCCTGGGGGTCTAGGCAAGAATTGAAGGGATGGGAACAGGTGACACTGGGGAGCAGACCCTGGGAAGGCAGAGGTGGCCCCAGGGCCCGGGGGGCTGGGCAGAAGAACATGTGCTTGCTTGCACTCGGTGCCCCGTTGGGGGAGGCTCATCTCTTGCAGATGTGTAACTGTCCCCCCACCCCCACCCCGCCCCGCCAGGTATCCACCCCAGCACCTCCCCTACTCATTGACAGCGGTGTCAGAGGGGATCATGCTTTGAGAGAGGAGAGACTCAGTATTTTAAGCCAGGCTTTCTCCGGGGCCACCGGAGGCCCATGGCACTGCCCAGCCTGTGCTGGGCTGGCAGAGTCTCATTTCCCTTTGCAGCCCAGCTGGGGCGGGGGTGGCCGCAGCGCCTCAGGTCGATGAGCAGTACTGTCCCATCCTCCCCGAGGGTCAGCAGGAGCCCAGCCCACCACCTTCCCTCCCACCTGCCCGCGCTGCGTCCCCGCAGCGCCCACCCCGGAGGGCTGGGTCCGCAGAAGGAGGGGCCTGACTCGCCGCAAAGCGGCGGCCGGGGCTCCCCCCTTCCAGCGGGAGGGGTGGTCTGGACGTTAGGACCCTGGGAGGACGGAAAGGCGGGGTGACAGGACATTGGGGAAGCGTCCTCTCCGCCGCCGGCCCCAAGCCTCCCCTCCCCCTGCACGCCGATCTGTGGGGTGGGGGTGAGGATGGAGAGAGACACGGGGTCTGGGGCCTGCGAGGCCCTGAGCCGGGCCCTGGGGGACGCTCAGGGCCCGCACGCGGGTGAGGGGCTGCGGCGCCCCCGGCCCCGGCCCCCCGCGCGGCCTGGCTCGTCGCCTGTTACCGGTAGGGGGCGCCCTTTCCGAAGGCCGCTGGGCCCATTCTCCGGACCCGGCGCCGGATCCGGGCAGGGCTGGGGGTCGTGTCCCCGCGCGGCAGCCCCGGCGCCCCCGGCCCGCTCACCTCTCGGCTCCCCGCGGTCGCTCCGCGTCGCCCCCCAGCTCCGCGCGCGCCCAGGCCCCCGACCACCCCGCCCCCAGCGCGCGGCGAGCAGACCCCGCCCTCGGCGCTCCCCGCGCCCCCCGGCCCGGCGCTCGCTCCCTCCGCACTCACCGCCCGAGCCGGGCGCGCACGCGCCGCCGCCGCCGCCGCCACCGCGCGCCGAGGGGCCCCGGCCCCGCCCGCCGCCCCGCCCCGGCCCCGCCCCCGGCCCGCCCCGGGTGGGCTCGGAGCCCCCCGCCCGCCCCCATTGCGCAGACGGGGATACTGAGGCCCGCGGCGGACGGCGCCCCGCGGGCAGGGCAGCGAGTCAGCCGGAGCCCAGGACTCCAGACGCGCGCCCGCCTGAGCGCGCCGCCCCTCCCGAGCCCGCTCCGAGGCCCCGCCGCAGGACGCAGGGGACGCAGGACGGGCACGCGGGTCAGGTGCCCGGGGCCGCGCGGGGAGCCCGCTCTCGCCGGGGGGGCGGGGGGGACGGGGGGCGGGTTCTCGACCTCCCAGGCTGAGCACCAAACCCTGCGGATGGCCATCACCACGGGGTGGCCAGCTCACTAGGCACCAGGGGCTCTAGCTGACCACCACCTTGCGGTCGCCGTAGGGTGAACATAGTGACCCCCAAGGCTCGGGCACCCCGTATTTACACGAGATCACACAGAGCTGTGACGTGGCAGAGCCTGGCTGGATCCTAGGTGCCACCTGCCAACCAGTGTGCCCGCTTAGGGGCTCTGCGGGACTCCCACTGGGCACCCCCCTTCGTTCAGGACAGTCAGGACCACCCCTGGGTGTCCCGTGGGCCCCCAGGGAGTCCCTCTGGCCCTGTGGCCACCACCGGGGACTCCTGGGCTCCATTTCTGCATTTGTCACCAGGGCTAAAGCAGTCCCTCGTGGCAGCAGTCCCCACCAAGGGAGGTGGCGGGAACCAGGTGCAGGCACGCCCCACCCGGGGCCTCTAGTATTATTTCGGTCACGTCCACACCATGATTATCACGGCCCTCATCATGTGCGAGGTGCGGGGCCTGCCCCCCTCAGCGGAGCCTGGGCCGCGGTCACCTAAGTGCATGTGTGTGTAGAACGTTCCCAGGCCCAGCCGGACGCCCTGCTCGTGCCCAGAGCATCTGAAGCTTGCTGTGGGGCTCACCTGGAGAAGGGGGCTCTGTCATCCCCTGGACAGCGGTGGCCGCTGCTCTTCTGGCTGGTGGGGGCTCCCTGCACTTCTCTTGTGCCAGAGTCTGCAGGTCAGAGATGTAGTGTGGGTTAGCTCACCGCCTTGGTCACCCTGATGTCCAGGGGCTGGGAAGGGGGCCAGGCTCTGTGCCCCTGTGGGGCCTCAGCCTGCGCGTGGCCTAACAGGCCTCCACCCCCATGATGGCCGAAGCCAAATGGGTCTTTCCGTGTTCTGCCTGTGGCTCACACCCTCAGCCTGGAGGGAGAGACACACCTGCTTGGGTCCCAGGAGATGGGGATGGACAGACTGCTGGGCATGACGCTGAAAGTCTGCAAAGCCCAGGGTGCTGGCTAAGGGTCCTTTTTGGGGGAAGGGGAGGGCTTCTTGCAGAGCCAATGGCTGTGGGCTGTCAGGCTAGGGCCCACTTTGGTGCGTGGGAGCTAAAGGACAGGAGGGGACCCAGATGGCTGGACAGAAGCCCCCAGAATGAGAGGGCCCTGGAAGTCCCCAGCAGATGGTCTGAGGGCAGCTGGGGTGGCTGTGACTGGGACACCTGTAATCGTGAGAGCGGGGTCCTGCCACTGAAGGACTTCAGGTCCCCTGGCCCCCAAACCCGAGCAGGGCAGCCCTCCCTCAGACCCAGGCAGTGAAATTTAAGAGCCAGTCCTAGGCAAGACCTTCCTCACCCAGTCCCCTGCCCCCATCCTGTCCCTGAGCCTCTGAGCCCTGCAGCCTAGCTGGGTCTCTGGTCCTCACTCTGCTGCTAACCCCGGGCTGAGGCCTCATGTCTGCTTCTTCATCTGAGCCACGGGGCTCCCCAGACAGACCACTGCCGTGGCCGTGGCAACACAGGAGCTGTGGAAGCCGAAAAGGCCTCCATGTGGGCTGGGGGGTCTTTGGGTGGGGACTCGGGCACTCTGGGTGGGGGGGAGAGGGGGAGCAGGGGCTCTCCCAGGGTCCGAGGTGGGCTGTCCCTCTGCCTGAGGACCCCACCCATGCCCCCGAAGCCAGCCCAGCAGGAAGTGGGGGGCTCCCCTGGTCCCGTGTGCTGTGTGCCCAAGGAGCACGGCTCATCCTGGCTGCAGAGTTGGCTTTGGGCTTCCTCTGCATGAAGCCCCCTCTGCCTCCCCTCCAGACCCACATTGGGAGTGCTTGCCCACCCTTGGGGGATGGCCCTGGGACCCCCGGCTCTGAGAGGACAGCCGAGCCACCTTAGGGGCCCCTCCAGGATGGCAGAGACTGCCAGGAGGGTGTGTGGAGGGGAAGGCCACAGGTCGCATCCGGCTTCTCCTCTCAGGGGTCACAGTAGCTGCTGGGCCCCCCAGGGCTAAGTGTCCCTGTTGGGCAGGTCAGAGTCGGTCTAGACTGGGCCATCCGCAATGGGTGCCCTTGGCCAAGGGTCCCGAGTGTCCTCCATGCAGTGGGAATGGCACCATTAGGGAGAAGAACGAGATGGTGCCCGGAAAGCGGGGTGCAGAGTGGGCGCACCCAGGTGACACGTGCTGTGGTCCGAGGGTCGGTGGGAGCCAAGGGGGTGCCCGCCCTGCTCGGCCCGCTCCCTGCCCCCCAAGGCCACCCCTGCCATACCTGATACGGCCCGGGCCCAGGCTTGGCCACGGCCCCCATCGCGGCCTGCTCAGCCCAGAGGTGGATCCTCCCCGTCTCCGGCCGCCCCAAGGTGCCTCCGGAGGCCGCCTGCCTGGCCTGACCACTGGAGCTTCCAGCTGGGCTGTGTGGGACAGCCGGCTCAGGGCAGGGAGGCTCCTCCCGGGGCGAGGAAGGGCGGCTTTTTATGCTCCATCCCGTGTAAATCAGGATTGGGATGGGCCCTTCCCGGCCGGACTTCCTGTGTGTGTTCCTCGCTGATAACAGGGAGCTGTCAGCGAACAAACAGGAGGCCCAGGGATGGGTGGGGGCCATCAAGGGGGTGGCCTGGCCGAGCTGTGGGCAGGGGTGGGGGAGCGGTCCCCTGGGATTTCAGAGTCTAACTCCAAAGCAGCCAGAGACCAGGCACAGGCCCGGCTGGCGACCCTGGGACCTGCTGGTCTCAGCGTGTGACGGAGGACGTGGCACACTGGGAAGCCACCTGCTGGGCCCCTTGGCCATGTTACTGGAGCTCCACAGGAGGGACTGTTTGTTCTGTGACCCTGGACTCTCCCCCAGGGCAGGCACCTGCACCCCCAGATATGTATGCCCAGCGTGGGAATCTGGAGGGACCCCCCACCCTGGGAGGGGGCACCCAGCCAGAAGAGACCTGGGGATGGGCAAGGTAGGCTGGTGGTCAGAGAACAGCCTGCTGCATGCGTCCCTGGGGCCCAGAGTGGCTCGGGGGGAGGGGGTGCCAGGGAGGAGCGGTCGTCAGCCCAGAGACTAAGGCCTTCTCCAGGAAGGGGCTACCCCAGGGGGACATTGAGCCCCCTGTTCCTGGAAGTGCACCCGCAGGGGTTCTCTCCTGGGGGCAGGCAGAGCACGTCCTTGGGCCGTCTCTCCTCCCTCGGCCTCTAGCAGGCTGAGGGGTGCCAGGGCTGGGGTGGGAGATGGAGGAGTGCAGGGGCCTTTGGGTGGCCACAGGGGGTGCTTCCTTCATTTGGCCCTGTGGTTCGCCCCCAGCCCTTGGACTGACTCCCGGTTTCCTCATTTAGGCGGTGCTGGGGACCCACAGGCTGGGCATCAGTTGCTGTGATCGTGGGTAGGTGGGGACCCAAGGGGAGCCGGGCAGCTGCTGAGGATGCAGCCGGACCACACAGCTGGCCAAGGGTCCCTGATCAGGCAGGGCCACTCTAAACCATTGCTGGTTGTCCTGGGGGTTCGCGCCCTGCTCTGGGGTCAGCCCCTGCCCACCCACAGCCGGGAACACCCTCTGCTTGCCCTTACCTCCCTCCGGCCCACCCAGCTCGGTGTCCTGGCCAAGAGGGAGGAAGGAGGAGCAGCTTGGAAAATCCCCCAAAGGAATGCTGAGAGCAAGAAGGACCAGCCTCCTCCTCATCTCCATGGTTTGGGGAGGGTCTGCCGCGGGCACAGGGCTGGGGGACCTCGGGCACAGGAGCTCTGCCCCCTCTGCCCACCCCACCCAGACCCACACCCAGAGATGGCCTCCAAGCCCCTGCAGACATCAGGGCCGGCTGCAGCTAGCCTCTTTTGTGTACAGACGGGGAAACTGAGGCCCAGGAGAGGGAAAAGACTTGCCCCAGGTGAGCAGCGAGGCAGAGCAGGGCTGGAAGGAGTCAGGACCAAGACAGCTGCTTTCTTTTCTCAGAGAATGCCTCCCTCAGGGGGCAGCCCCCAGTCCTCAGACCTTCCCTGCCAGGGGGTGGGCTGACATGGGAGTAGCTAATGAGCCAAATATGTGGACGGTGAATGGCTCAGCCCCCCCTTTAAAGCTTGGGCGTGTTAGGGAACTTTCTGGAAAGATGCCCCAGAGCACAGAGGCGAGAAGGAAGAAAGCTGGTCTCCCCGGCCCCTGGGTGCCAGCCAGGGTGGGGCGCCAACTCCGCCTGCTGCCCAGCCTTGTGGGTCCCCCACGGATCTGCGCTTCCCTCCTGACCCGCTCTGCCCTGCCTCCAGCCCCTCCCCGAACTGAGATCAGAACCAATCCACGGAAAGCGGGCTTTGGATCAGGGCGCCAAGCGAGCAGCCTCGCCTGATTGTCACTTACACCCCGCGGGGCTCTCCACTCTCAGACCCCTAGAGCCTCAGGGCAGGTGCGGGAGGAGGGCTAGGCTCCTGCCCTAAACGGGGGCTCAGCTCCTCGGGGTCTGCCTGGGGGCAGGGTACAGGTGGAGGACAGAGATGGAAGCTGACACCTTCTTGGACTCCAGGAGGTCCTGGGGGCCTTGAGAGGGGTGAGGCGTACTTTCGGCCCCACAGGCCCACCCCGGGGTGCTGGATGGGTGGAAGGGGGCTCCACCTGGGGCAGGCCGGGACCACCCTCCCTCCCGCGAGAGGCAATGCCTCCTCCCACCTCCGATGGCCCCTGTTTAGGGTCCTGGATCACAGGGCCTGCCCGCGGGGAGTCATCTTTGGAAGGAGTCAGTGCTGCCTCTGACCTGGGCCTGCGTCCCCTGAGGGCAGGGTGGGCCCAGCAGTCCGCTGTCCACACCTGGGCAGCTCAGAGACCTGGGCCTAGCGCCTGGCCAGCTTCCGGCAGGGCGTCCAAGACTGGGGGAAACTGGTCCCAGGTTTGCTTTCTGTTGCTGGAGGCTCCGGGCCTCAGTTTCCCCATCCACCCCGTGGTCAGTAGGGCTGGATGGTTGCAGCTGCCTCCCGGCCTATCCGTGAATGGTCTGAAGTTGATTGGAAAGCAGTCTCGCTGCCTTACCTTCCCTGAGCGTGCTGGTCAGGCAGTGGGGCGCAGCAGAACTCCGCCAGGGCCTCTGTGGTCCTCCTGGGACCCCCTTGGGACCCCTCACCACTGACCTTCGGGTCTCTGCAGCCCCAGGAGAGGGTAGACCGGGCCCCCAGCAGAGGCCGGCGTAGGCATGTCAGGCGGCTTGAGGCAGAGGGGCACCGGGCGAGGAGGCCTGTGAGCTGGGCTGCAGGAAGGAGAGAGCAGAGCAACGAGCAGGGGAGAGATGGGGCTTCCTGTTTACCCTGGAGCAGCTGCTGGCCTCAGGATAGGGTGGCTCTGTCGGCCACGGCCGGGTCCGGCTTCTCGCCAGATGTGCTGAGCCTTCACCGAGGGATGCGCCTGGCCCGGTGACCTGTCCCCAGTGGGGGCTGGGTACCCCTGGGCCCCGTCAGCTGTCTACACCTGAGTTGGGTGGGGTCCCAAAGGAACCAGAGGTTTTCTAGGGAGCCTGGGGTCTTCACTGCCGGCTGCCCCCTGCTCGGTGTGCCTCCCGGAAGTGCCCATGCACCGCACTCACGAAATTACCTTCAGATAACACAACTGAGGCCCACAGGGGAACGTGCTCGTCCAGGATCAGCCAGTGGGAAATGGGAGCCCTGGATGGGGAGCCCAGGGGGGCCCGAGCAGCAGGAGACCCTGGGGGGAGGCCTGGTTCCTTCTGGCTGCCTCCCGCGCCCCACTTGCTGGGGACTGTCCATGCAGTCACGACAACCTTCCGGCTGCAGGTCCACCGCTGCTCAGGCCGGAGGCCCAGGACACCGCCTTTGCCCCATCTTTGGGTCCCCATGGGCTCGGCCTCCAGAACACGTCCCTCCTGCTGCTGTCCCATTCTGGTCTGGGCCACCATGCTTCCTGACCGGGGGGCCTCCTCCTCAGCCTGCGGGGCACCCCTGACCGCTCCCCAGTTCTTCGTGAAGGGCGACTTCGGGTCATGTGACTTCCCTCCCTAAGCACAACTGAGGGCTTCCCACGGCACTGGGGACCACGTCTGATCCCTCACACTCGGGGCCCTCCCTGAGCACCAGCTCCATGCAGCCCAGATGGACCGCATTTGCCTCGCTCACACGGGGACAGAGCTGGCCCCTAGCAGGGGTGCCAAGGGCTGGGACAGGCCCTGTGGGCCACCCGCCTCCACCCCGCCCAGAGGCGGCCTGCCCGTGTGCACTGCCGTGGAGATGTGCGTGGGGGTGAGCGTGCGTGGGAAACCGGCGCCCCTCCAGGAGATGCCCCCGTCCCAGCCCAGGCGCCCCAGCCTCCACTCCCACAGCTTTCAGTACACGGTGTTGCGCGGTGCCCCCGTGTGTCTGGCCTGTCCCACTCCACGGCGGGTCTGTGGACGCTCGGTGCCTCTGTGTAGTTGGCCGCGGCGGCTTGCCCGTCCGCTGGGCAGCCTGTGTTCACGGGGAGAGCAGAGCCGCACGCACACCGCTGGCTTTGGCTGTTACCAGCCGTGTTGCTGTGGACATTCTTGTGCCGGCCTTTTGGCATTTCTCCTGGGTGCCGATACCTGGGCCTGTCTCTGGGAGAATTGCTGGTCCCAGGAGACTCACGATGCCGGGGACTGCCCAGCAGAGCTCCAGGTCACCCCCCGAGTGCTGGGGGTTCCGGGGCCTCACGCCCTTGTTGGCACTTGCTACTGCCTAGGGTCTGATTTTAGCCATTCTGATGACTTTCAGGGGTATCGCTGTATTGTTCTCTCTTTAATGTAGGGAGAAAGACTCATTCTATAGACGAGACAGCTGGGTGGGGTGAGAGCCAGTCATGGGGCACGTGGGAGTCCCAAGGGCGCCAAGCTCCGGGCTTCAGCTCGGCTGAGCAGCCTGCTAGCTGCAGGCACAGTGAACGTCCCAGGGCGCTGAGTCTGGGCAGCGGAGAGAGAAGGGGCCACCCACTGGGGAATGAGCTTAGGGGGACCCCTGGGTCACTTCTGCTGTGAGTGTGCAGTGTGTCCCAGCTCCCAGGAGCCTCCATGAAGCGTTCACCTCCTCCGTGCTGGGGCTGTTGGCCAGGTTGGGGTCAAGGTGGGCACTGGATCCTGCTTGGAAGCTCCCAGGGTGGGCATTTGTGGTCGGGCCAACCCCAGCACCACCCCCCCACCACCGACCTGCTCAGCGCTGTGGCCGGGCCCTGGACGGTCACCTTTGGGGTCCCTAGCCCCAAAGCCCCAGTTTGTCCCAGTGCCAGCTTCGCCTGGAACCCAGGCTCCTCCGGGCCGTGGAGGCCGCCCCCACCCCCTTGGGGCTCCCTCCTTTGTGGGGCCTGAGGAAGGGGGACCTGCCCCCCCCGGCTCCCTGGACGGAAGCCCCACTCAGAGTCGGGCTGCAATTTGCCAAGCCTGGCGGATGGGGCGGCCATCAATGCGGAGGGGAAAAAACACTTTATCTCCTGGGACGGAAAGGGAAGCTCCTGAGAAGGGGGCAGGTTGACGGAGTGGGC